GATCGGTTCAACTGAGAAAACTGGGAACCGGTCTGGTTAGCTTTGAAAACCTTTTAATTAAAAGACCGTTTGATAACCCGTTGAATCGGTCGGTTTTTTATAAGCTCGTAACCCGCTACCAGTTAGAATGAAACCGTGAAAAGAATGAAAAACCCTTATTTCCTGTTTCAATTGAAAATTGAAATCAAACCCTCGTCTTTCTCTCATCTTCAATGGGCCGCATCAATAGAAGGTAAATTTTAAAATCCTCTACTTTGTTCTTCAATTAAATCTCGTTCTTCCATTAATGGACTTCTAAAGCAGGTTGGTTTGCTTCTAAATAACAAGATTTTCATCCTTTTTCTTTTTTCTTTTTTTCAGAACTTCTTGTCTTTTCCTCCTAGATTCTAATTAATTTAGGGATAAGAATTATTTACTTTTCATGTTTTGTAGTTTTTGAATCACAATTTTCATATTTGATATGTGAAATTTATTGAAATTTGTGTACTTTTTTCTTCCCTGTCAAATCTGGATTTGCGGAGGTGTAATGTGCATTTGGAAGAGCAGAAATCTAACCTTTTCTCCACATAATTATGTTATATTGCCCTTTATTCATTTCTTGGATTATTGTTGACTTGTTTTGATGAGGTTTAACATAAGCTAAATTGCTTTTGTTAATGGAGTACAATTTGTTGTTTGGAAGGTTGAAGGAATATTATGCTTGGTTTCTCGCAATAAGTTCCTTTTTATGTTGTATCTAACAAGTTATATAAATGTTAGTTCTAACAATTTATATAATTGTTAGTTAGATTCTGGGTTGTACTTGTGCCATTGTGTAATCACAAACTTATACATCAATAAAGGAACTTGAGTTTTGTTCTCTTTTTCTCCTGCCTTATTGGTTTTTTGGTTTGAAAATTTTACTGGTAATTGTATTCTGTCTAACTATGGTTATTTTAATTTCTTTTACTTAGGAATTAGGATGGACGACAATACTCAATTTTTAGAAAGGCAATCTATAGGTTTCACACCTTCTAGCCGTGCAAAGTCTGATCCTGCATGGGAAGACTTCTTGTCTAGTCGTGATATTGATGGTAAAGTTTGTTATGTCTTTATTGCAACAATAGCTTTAAAGGTGAGGGGAATTAATAGAATGAAATATCATCTNTTTGTTCCAAGGACTACTCCTGGATATTAGCCTAGTATAAAGAGTGCTTTAGCTGGTAACCAAACAATAAAGAGAGCTCAAATGTCTTGGGTTAGATGGTTTTATGATGCTTGCATTCCACTTAATGCTTTGCAATCACCTTATTTTAAACTTGCTTTAGATGCCATTGCTGTAATTGGTCCAGAATTTAAAGGTTCATCTTATAATAACATTCGTGTTAATTTGTTGAGAGATTGCAAGAAAGAATGTCAATTGCTTGTTAACACTTATCGAAGTCAGTGGATAAATAATGGATGTACAATTATGGTCGATGGTTGGATCGATCAAAGACATAGAACGTTGATTAATTTTTTAGTATATTGTTCTTCTGAGATTGTATTTATAAAATCTTATGATGCATTAGATGTAGTGAAAGATGCTCAAACAATGTGTAATTTGTTTTCTGAGATAGTTGAATGGGTTGGACCTCGTAATGTGGTTCATATGGTAGCTAATAATGCTGCTAACTATGTGGCGGCAGGGAAATTATTGCACGACAAATATGATCACAATTTTTGGTCTCTTTATACTGCACATTGTTTGAATCTTATTTTAAAAGATATTAGTAGTATGCCTCACGTACATTCCCTTGCATTACATGTTTCGAAAATTACAATATTTGTGTATAATCACACAATTTATTTATTTTTTTTGTTTTGGTTGCGAAAAATACTTGAATGGAAGGAAATTGTACATCCAGTTGTGACTCGTTTTGCTACCACTTTTTTAACATTGAAAAATATTTATGATCACAAACAAGCATTGCAGAGTTTGGCAACAAGTAGGCATTTTACAACCTATAGGCTTTCAAAAAGCACAAATGGAAGACTCGTGAGCTATATCATCTTGGATAACAAATTTTGGGAAGATTGTTTGATGGTTGTGAAAATTGTGGTTCCTATTATAAGATTGTTACAAATTGTAGATTCACATGAAAAACCTTCATTATGTTATGTATATGATGGCATGCATAGAGCATGAAAAGGAATCAAGAATATATTCTTAAAGAAGAAGAGATTATACAAACCTTACACTGATATAATTAAGGAGCGATGGGATAAACATCTTCGTCTTAACATACATGCAACAACTTATTTTTCCAATTCTACTTTCATTTATGAAGAAGGAATTTTGTCAAAAAGTAGAAGTCATGCAAGGTCTATTCAATTTGCTTGAAATCAAAAGTATTTGTGGTGATGAGACAAAAGCAATGGGGGAGATAAGGATGTATCGAGAACGTGAAGGGAGTTTTGGAAGGCAATCTCTATATAATACTAGAAAATCATTACAACCTGGCGATAAATTGTAGAACCCCAAATAATTTTAAACACCTTAGTGGCATTAAGACATGAATATTGGATAGCTAAAGTATACTTCAGATTTGTAGTCTCATTTGAGACCCATTTACGACATAGAAAACATTTGATTTGGAAAATGATATCTAAAGAAAAGTTGTAGCTCTTTGAGTTAGCTTTCCAACGCACTTTGAATTACCTCAATCGAATATCGGGAGAAAAAGTTATGATAGAAATACTAAAAACTGTACAGTCTCAACCGAAGTACGCAAAATATGAAAAGTCAAATTCCTACACGATTTTCTAGCACCTTCTTAAACCTATAACTCCCACATAAATAGCACCCATATTAATGAGTATTAGGCCCTTCACTTGCCCTTAAGTTGTGAGATTTTCACCTATAAATAGGCCCCAATGCATACACATTTTTCACATAAAGACAAAAGCTTCTAAACATAAAAGAGAAAGTTTTCAAGTCTAGAAAAAAGAGAAATGATAGGGAGGAAAATTAGTTTTTCATAAAAGTTTTGGTGCTATCAAGAAGTGTTTTTCCAAGCATCAATTCTCAAAGGAGTGTTTTTTTTTAAACATCAAAGGAGTGCATTTTTCAACAAGGTTTAAAGTATCAATCAAGGTAGGTAGAGGTGCAAAGTGTTAATTCGTGTTATGTTATAAGTTTCTAGCAAATGAAGATTTATGTTAATGTTTGTATGTCTAATGGTACCTCCGGTAAGGCATGTACTTCCGGTCGAGTTTTCGTATTAAGTCATGACTCTACGTGTTTCGGATTCTACCGGAATCCTACTATGAAAATGTTTCTAAAGTTACAGCTTTGAAATGTATAGCTTGATCACGAATGCACCAATGATATCTATTGAATTTTTTTAACTCACGGGTTTAACCCCTTCTCTACAAATTGATATGATTCTACCTTTGGCCTGGATGATGGAAAAGATGGAGAGTGGTGCAACGAGCCTATAGAAAACCCGGTGAACAAATTATTTAGATTTATTTTTGTGAACATTTTCAATGTTATTTCTTTAAAGTATTTGAATAACGTTGAATGCGAGAACAAGTTGTGTTTTCTTCAAATAAATTACGTTCCGTTTTTTTATTTAGTGTTTTATTTAAAGTATTTGAAAAGTTGTTAAAATTATCATTTGTAAAAATTAAGCTTCCACTAAAACATATTCTCCTATGACTAAACCACCAGTTAGTTAAGTAAAGTAAGTAGCGTTTCAATCCACAAGGGGTCGGGACGTATAGCGTGGTATCAGAGCACGGTTTAACCGATTCTGTAGACCAAGTATGTTTTTTTTAAAAAAATGAAAAAGTCTAAAATACTCCATGACATCTTGCATCCATTCATCAATCTCATCCTACGGCTCAGATATGTTCAAAGTTAATGTTTTCATGAAAAGATTATGTTATGATGCTCTACGATACTATGGTACAACTTATTTTTATTTTCAAAGATATACTATGTCAGTTAGAAATGATTTGAAAGATGTGTTTTTTTTCAAAAGATACACATTGGGCTAGAATTTATAGGTAGAATGTTATGTAACAGTAGCCATTTTTCCAATAGTAAAAAAAAAGTCTATGATATGTGAAAATGCAACAGATATGGCTCGTAGAACGGTTAGGGCATATAGAGGAGCATTGAACCGTAGAATCGACATTCAGTCCTATGAGAGTTACGTGACTGATCTGCTCCGTCCACTTGACGAACATATACATGATGTCTATGACAGATGCATGACAGCGGTGAACGCTGGAATGGAGATAACGCATACTCCCTTCCACCTCAATGGGAAGATATGAGAGTCACGGTTAGGGATGTAATGCTAGAGGAGCACCCAAATATATTTGAGTTTGAAGTGTATTGCCAATCACTCCTAGACCTATGGAGGGAAAACTCAGAACCTCAATCGGAGATAGTAATTGAACTTGATGAAGAAGAAGAGCCTGGAGAAGGGAATGATCCTGAGCCCGAGCCACAGGTTGAGATGGACATAGAATCCGGACCTGAGGCGAAAGACTCTTCTGGAGATGAGGCTACACCAAAGAAGATCCGTAGAACTTATAGGGATTAGATTTAAATCCTTGTAACAACTTCCTTTATGTCAAGAAATAAAATTTTATCTTCTTTGTTAGAATTCGAAGTATGAAACTAATAAGAACCATACGTTTTGTCTAAAGGAAAATGGCCCGCGCAAACTAAATCAACTTGATAAGAGATCTCCTCCAAGCGGTCCAAGACCTTGGCAAGCAAAACCCGAACCAGGCGCAATCCCTACCACTAGCTCCTAATGCTCCTCCAACCCATGCTTCAGTGGTCGAGCAATTTAGAAGACACAAGTCCCCTACTTTCAATGGAGCAGCTGATCCACTTGCATTCAAGGAGTGGCTTCACAAGTTGGAGAGAATATTCCGATTAATAGGGTGCACGGACGCTCAGAAGGTCCAGTTTGTTGAGTTTATGTTCTCCGGTGATGCAAGCCACTGGTGGGACTCGATGTCAAGGACGAGGACCCCAGAGCAACAAGCGGAATTGACTTGGGAGCGATTTAAAGAGGAAGTAATGGACAAGTACTTCCCACAGTCTTTGAGGGATCACAAAGAAAGTGAATTTCTCCAACTCAAGCAAAGGACTATGTCCCTGACTGAGTATGAAAGAAAGTTTAACCAACTTTCAAGGTATGCTCCACATCTGGTGGATACGGAGGACAAGAAAGTCAGGAGGTTTGAACAAGGGTTGAACCCAGATATAAGCATGATACTTGTGTCCCATCGTTTTACCTCATACCGTAAAATGTTGGAAAGAGCTCATGCTATCTGGTACCTGAAGACTAGCACCGAGCAATATAGTAAATTGTTCAATCAACCGGACAATAGAAATATGGGTAAAAGGAAATGGAATGGCCAGGACAAGGGAAAGAGCAAGTGGCAAAACAAGAAAGCTAATGGCGGAGTCAATGCCAACAAGAGTATTGTGCCAGTTATAGAGCCATGTCCTAAGTGTGGAAAGACGCATCGTGGCGTGTGTTTACAAGGGAAGAATGTCTGTTTCAGATGTGACAAGCCAGGGCATATTTTTAAGGATTGCCCCACATTTACCCCGAAGAAGGATGATAACAATGACTAGAACAAAAAAGGGAAAGCACGAGTTTTTGCAATGACTCAGAAAGATGCAGAGGAAAGCTTGAACATCATAGCAGGTACTTTATTGATAGCCAATACGCCTGCTTATGTATTGTTTGATTCAGGAGCCACACACTCCTTTGTATCGACAACTTTTATGGCTAAATCTAGTATTACCTGTGATAAGTTGGAAGGTACATTAGAGGTTAGCATTCCTTCAGGCAACCCTTTGAGTACTGATAGAATAGCCAAATCAGTAAGTATTGAAATTGAGGGAAAACCAATGGAAGCAAACCTATATATGATAGAAATGAAGGATTTTGATGTAATACTAGGCATGGATTGGTTGGGTTGTAATTACGCTACCATCCGATGCAAGAAAATAGAGGTATCATTTCAGAAACCAGGAGAGAAACCATTTTCGTTCCTTGGAATAAGACTAAACCCCTTATTCGACTAGTATCGGCTTTACAAGCTAAGAAGATGTTGAGAAAAGAAACATGTCAAGGATATTTAGTAAACATCTCAGGAGGGATACAGGAGACGATAAAGGTTGAAGACGTACCAATAGTACGGGAATTCGTAGATGTGTTTCCACAAGATCTATCTGGTATTCCACCAAATAGGCAAGTGGAATTCACCATAGACCTAATTCTCGAAGCGGCACCAGTGTCAAAAGTCCCATACCGAATGGCCCCGAAGAAACTACAAGAGTTAAAGAAGCAGTTGCAAGAACTCCTAGATATGGGCTTTATACGGCCAAGTGTATCTCCATGGGGTGCACCGGTGTTGTTCGTGAAGAAAAAGGATGGAAGCATGAGAATGTGCATCGATTATAAGGAGTTAAATCGATTAACTATCAAGAATAAGTACCCACTCCGGAGAATCGAGGATCTGTTAGATCAACTGAAAAGAGCTAAGGTATTTTTCAAGATCAACTTACGATCGGGATACCATCAATTGAAAGTAAAGTCAAAGGATATACCCAAGACAGCTTTCAGAACTCGTTATGGACACTACGAGTTTACAGTGATGCCGTTTGGGCTAACCAATGCACCTATAGTGTTCATGGACCTGATGAATCGTGTATTTCATCAGTACTTCGATAAATTTGTCATAGTCTTCATTGATGACATTCTGATATATTCCAAGAGTAAGGAGCAACATGAAGAGCACCTAAGAATAGCATTAGAGGTATTACGCAAGGAGAAGCTGTATGCCAAATTCAAGAAGTGTAAGTTCTGGCTTGAACGAGTTAGATTTCTTGGACATATAGTCATTGCTCAAGGGATTGAGGTAGATCCAGCGAAAGTGGAAGCAGTAACCAACTAGAAAGCACCAACTAATGCTGGCGAGGTACGGAGCTTTCTAGGATTAGCAGGATATTATCGGAGATTCATAGAAGGATTCTCCAAAATAACTGGACCAATGACGCAGCTTACAAGGAAGGGAGTAAGATTTCAATGGACGGATAAATGTGAACAAAGTTTTCAAGAACTTAAACAGAGGCTGATATCAGCACCCGTGTTAACAATACTTGAGGGTACGGAAGGGTTTGTTATATACAGTGATGCATCCAAGCAAGGATTGGGATTATGCTGATGTAGAATGGAAAAGTGATAGCCTATGCATCAAAACAATTGAAGAAACATGAGTAGAGCTACCCGACGCATGATTTAGAACTTGCAGCGGTAGTACATGCCTTGAAGATATGGCGACACTACTTGTATGGAGAGAAGTGTGATATCTACACAGATCACAAGAGTCTCAAATATTTATTCACACAGAAGGAATTGAATATGCGACAAAGATGATGATTGGAATTGGTGAATGATTATGATTGCACCATCCATTACCATCCAGGTAAGGCTAATGTTGTGGCTGACGCCTTAAGAAGAAAATCAATGGGATAGTTGGCGTCACTACCCACTTTTCAAATGGAGTTAGTCAAGGACTTGGAAAAGTTGCAGATCGAAGTGGTTACCATACCAGGACAAGTCACTACTTGTCTAGCAGCTTTGATAATTCGACCTACTCTTAGAGATCGAATTATAGAGACACAAGGTAATGACCCATTCTTGTTGAAGATCAAGAATGAAATTGGTACTGATAAGAGAAAGGATTTTGGAATAGTTTCGGATCAAGCACTGATGTTTAAGGGGAGAATTTGTATGCCTAAGGATGAAGCATTGAGAAACGAGATATTGAAAAAGGCCCATTCTACCCCGTACATCGCACATCCCGATGGTACGAAAATGCATCGAGACCTTCGAGATACATTTTGGTGGAGAAATATGAAAAGAAGTATAGAGTTGTACGTGAAAAAGTGCATGGTATGTCAACAGGTTAAGGCAGAACACCAAAAATCGGTTGGATTGTTAAATCCACTGGACATACCCGAATGGAAATGAGAAAATATCACAATGGACTTTGTAGTTGGATTCCCGAAGTCAGCAAGAGAAAACAACGCTGTATGGGTAATAGTGGATCGATTAACAAAGTCAGCTCATTTTCTTCCAGTGAAAATGACATTCAGTTTAGACCAATTGGCACAATTGTACATTAAGGAGGTTGTGAGATTACGCGGCGTACCTGTGTCCATTGTGTCTGACAGAGACCCAAGGTTCACGTCCAAATTTTGGAAAAGTCTATAAGGAGCTATGGGAACGAAGTTGAACTTTAATACAACATCTCACCCTCAGTTCGATGGTCAATCTGAAAGGACCATCCAAACTTTGGAAGACATGCTGAGAGCATGTGTTTTGGATCTAGGGAGTAGTTGGGAGTCATACATACCCCTAGTAGAATTCACATATAATAATAACTTCCAAGCAACTATCGAGATGGCACCGTACAAAGCTCTCTATGGTAGAAGATGTAGGTCCCCTGTTCATTGGGATGAAGTCGGGGAGAAGAGAGTTTTGAGACCAGAAATAATTGAAAGGACAGTTGAGGCAATTGATAAGATCTGTACAAGGATAAAGGCAGCACAGGATCGACAGAAGAGCTATGCGGATACAAGAAGGAAGGATTTAGAATTCAAAATTGAAGAAAAAGTGTTTCTGAAAGTGGCACCGATGAAAGGTGTACTTAGGTTTGGCAAGAAAGGAAAGCTACGACCCCGCTATATCGGACCATTCGAGATACTTGATAGGGTCAAAAATGTAGCCTATCAATTAGCTCTCCCACCTGGGTTATCGGCAGTGCACAACGTGTTCCATGTATCAATGATCAAGAAATACGTACATGATCCTAATCATGTAGTGAACTATCAGTCCGTGGAAGTACAAAAGGACTTATCCTATGAAGAGGTACCAATTAGGATATTGAATCGAAAGGTGCATAAACTAAGGAACAAAGAAATTCCATTGGTCAAAATACAATGGAATAGTCATGAAATAGAAGAGGCCACTTGGGAAGGGGAAGAGGAAGCCAAAAACAAGTATCCAACACTATTTGCCCAATCAGAAAATAAATTTCGAGGACGAAATTTTAATTAAGGTGTAGGGGATGTAAAACCTCAAATAATTTTAAACACCTTAGTGACACTAAGACATGAATATTGGATGACTAAAATATACTTCAGATTTTTAGTTTCATTTGAGACCCATTTACGACATAGAAAACATTCGATTTGAAAAGTGATATCTAAAAAAAAGTTGTAGCTCTTTCAGTTAGCTTTCCAACGCACTTTGAATTACCTCAATTGGATATCGGGAGAAGAAGTTATGATAGAAATACTAAATGCTGTACAGTATCAACCGAAGTACGCGGAATATGAAAAGTCAAATTCCTACACTATTTTCTAGCACCTTCTTAAACCTATAACTCCCACATAAATGGCACCCGTATTAATGAGTATTAGGTCCTTCACTTGCCCTTAAGTTGTGAGATTTTCACTTATAAATAGGCCCCAATGCATACACATTTTTCACACCAAGATAAAAGTTTCTAAGCATAAAAGAGAGAGTTTTCAAGTCTAGAAAAAAGAGAAAGGTGAGAGAGGAAAATTAGTTTTTCCTAGAAGTTTTGGTGCTATCAAAAAGTGTTTTTCCAAGTATCAATTCTCAACAGAGTGTTTTTTTTTAAACATTAAAGGAGTGCATTTTTCAACATGGTTCAAAGCATCAATCAAGGTAAGTAGAAGTGCAAAGTGTTAATTCGTGTTAAGTTATAAGTTTCTAACAAATGAAAATTTATGTTAATGTTTGTATGTCTAATGGTACCTCCGATACGGCATACATCTCCATGTCTAATGGTACCTTCGGGTACGACATGTACTTCTAGTCGAGGCGTCGTGTTAAGTCATGACTTTACGTGTTTGGGATTCTACCGAAAATCCTACTATGAAAAGGTTTCTAAAGTTACAGCTTTGAAATGTATAGCTTGATCACGAATGTACCAATGATATCTATTGAGTTTTTTTAAGTCACGGGTTTGACCCCTTCTCTACAAATTGATATGATTCTACCTTGGGCTGTCAAATTGTAGAACCCCAAATAATTTTAAACACCTTAGTGGCACTAAGACATGAATATTGGATGGCTAAAGTATATTTCAGATTTTTAGTCTCATTTGAGACCCATTTATGAAATAGAAAACATTGGATTTGGGAAATGATATCTAAAGAAAAGTTATAGCTCTTTGAGTTAGATTTCCAACGCAATTTGAATTGTCTCAATCGGATATTGAGAGAAGAAATTATGATAGAAATACTAAAGGCTATATAGTATAAACTGAAGTACTCAGAATATGAAAAGTCAATTTCCTACACGATTTTCTAGGACCTTCTTAAGCAGGCAATCAATAAGATCCATGCAAGGATAAAGGTAGCACAGGATTGACAGAAGAGCTATGCGGATACAAGAAGGAAGGATTTAGAATTCAAAATTGAAGAAAAAGTGTTTCTGAAAGTGGCACCGATGAAAGGTGTACTTAGGTTTGGCAAGAAAGGAAAGCTACGACCCTGCTATATCGGACCATTCAAGATACTTGATAGGGTCAGAAATGTAGCCTATTGGTTAGCTCTCCCACCTGGGTTATCGGCAGTGCACAACGTGTTCCATGTATCAATGATCAAGAAATACGTACATGATCCTAATCATGTAGTGAACTATCAGTCCGTGGAAGTACAAAAGGACTTATCCTATGAAGAGGTACCAATTAGGATATTGAATCGAAAGGTGCATAAACTAAGGAACAAAGAAATTCCATTGGTCAAAATACAATGGAATAGTCATGAAATAGAAGAGGCCACTTGGGAAGGGGAAGAGGAAGCCAAAAACAAGTATCCAACACTATTTGCCCAATCAGAAAATAAATTTCGAGGACGAAATTTTAATTAAGGTGTAGGGGATGTAAAACCTCAAATAATTTTAAACACCTTAGTGACACTAAGACATGAATATTGGATGACTAAAATATACTTCAGATTTTTAGTTTCATTTGAGACCCATTTACGACATAGAAAACATTCGATTTGAAAAGTGATATCTAAAAAAAAGTTGTAGCTCTTTCAGTTAGCTTTCCAACGCACTTTGAATTACCTCAATTGGATATCGGGAGAAGAAGTTATGATAGAAATACTAAATGCTGTACAGTATCAACCGAAGTACGCGGAATATGAAAAGTCAAATTCCTACACTATTTTCTAGCACCTTCTTAAACCTATAACTCCCACATAAATGGCACCCGTATTAATGAGTATTAGGTCCTTCACTTGCCCTTAAGTTGTGAGATTTTCACTTATAAATAGGCCCCAATGTATACACATTTTTCACACAAAGACAAAAGCTTCTAAGCATAAAAGAGAGAGTTTTCAAGTCTAGAAAAAAGAGAAAGGTGAGAGAGGAAAATTAGTTTTTCCTAGAAGTTTTGGTGCTATCAAAAAGTGTTTTTCCAAGTATCAATTCTCAACAGAGTGTTTTTTTTTAAACATTAAAGGAGTGCATTTTTCAACATGGTTCAAAGCATCAATCAAGGTAAGTAGAAGTGCAAAGTGTTAATTCGTGTTAAGTTATAAGTTTCTAACAAATGAAAATTTATGTTAATGTTTGTATGTCTAATGGTACCTCCGATACGGCATACATCTCCATGTCTAATGGTACCTTCGGGTACGACATGTACTTCTAGTCGAGGCGTCGTGTTAAGTCATGACTTTACGTGTTTGGGATTCTACCGAAAATCCTACTATGAAAAGGTTTCTAAAGTTACAGCTTTGAAATGTATAGCTTGATCACGAATGTACCAATGATATCTATTGAGTTTTTTTAACTCACGGGTTTAACCCCTTCTCTAAAAATTAATATGATTCTACCTTGGGCCTAGATGATGGAAAAGATGGAGGGTGGTGCAACGAGCCCATGGAAAATCCGATGAACAAGTTATTTAGATTTATTTTTGTGAACGTTTTCAATGTTATTTCTTTAAAGTATTTGAATAACGCTAAATGTGAGAACAAGTTGTGTTTTCTTCAAATAAATTACGTTCCCTTTTTTTCTATTCAGTGTTTTATTTAAAATATTTGAAAGGTTGTTGTTAAAATTATCATTTGTAAAAATTAAGTTTCCGCTAAAACATATTTTTTTATGACTAAACCACAGGTTAGTTAAGTAAAATAAGTAGCGTTCCGATCCACACGAGGTCGGGGCGTTACATAAATTGTTTTTAGTTATTTATTGTTTATTTTTAATAGTTCTTAGCACTTGAAACTAATTTTATTAAATTATGCAGATGACTGGTGGAAATTGTGTGGATCTAGTGCTCCAACTTTACAAAAGATAGCTGTTCGAAGACTTGGTCAAATAGCTTCTTCTTCGAGACGTGAAAGGAATTGGAGTGTCTTTGAACGTATTCACACAAAAAAAGAAATAGATTGGAGCATCAATACTCAACAATCTTGTCTATGTTACGTATAATTTGCAATTGAAGAATAGGTATATAATCTTAAACTTTTTACCAAGTTAAAAGTTTATTTTAACGACTCATTTATTTGATATATTTTCTTTATCTAACTACTACTCATTTACGATCTTATAGGCGTTATTATAAGAAGTGGTCTTATGATCCAGTTGATTATGAGTGTACTAACAAGACAAACTTTTGGATAGAGAAAGAAGTGCCACCACAGAATTTTGAGTACGAAGACTTAGATAATGCATTTATAAAGAAAATGCAATTTCCAATGTTTATGATCGTGAAATTGATGATAACGTTCAAGGTTCATAAATAATCTTAACTTATTGTTATTATCTTTTTTTTTTTTTTAATATTAGTCAAGTATTTTTATCTAACATATTGTTTCGTAATTTTGTAATTTAGATGACAATGAAAATACGGATGAGATTAATACTCAAGAGATGGGAGATTTAGATACAATGGATGTTATTCATCGTTTCGTGGAAGTGATCGAGGAATGAGACTTATGGATGAAAATGATAAAGGTAAAATTTAACTATTTAATATTTTATGTTTAGTGCACTTTTTTGTTCCAATTATTACATGACATTTTTTGTATTGGTGATAGTTGATGTGAAACTTTTAAATTTTAGCTATTTAAGATTTCATGTTATTCACTTATTAAGATTATTGTTTACTTTATATTGTTGACTTATTCAGTTATTTAACTTATTTTAAATTATATAATTGGATTGAATAGCACTTGACTTAGTTGATTGTAATTAATTGTTTTGTGATTTGATTTCAATATTTACTTTTCATTTTCCCCTCCTTTATAAATGTATATTTTTCATTTTGATTTTATAAGTCACCGGTTCAATTCTGGTTTGACTCTGGTTCAACCTTTTAACCTTGACCCTTTCTCTTTTTCGGGTCGATTTTTAAAACATTTGTGATTATCTGATTTCAGTAGGAGATTAGTAGATTTTTTGTATGAATTTATGATGATGCGAGTTTGTGGATAGATCTTCAAATTTCTCTTGAGTATCTTAATTGTCTATAAATTACTTTTTACCAATTTAATTAATTTTTCCTAACAATTTGGCTATTGTTTCCCACTTTAGTAGTTGGCTTGGTTGCTGAAAACTCGTTATAAACAAAGCTATTCTTGTTGTAACCAAATTCTTTGTAATTTACAGCAAGATTCTAAACTCCTATACTTTTGTTGTTATATGCACAAAGGCTATGGATTTTAGTGTACTTTTTCAGTTGGGGCGGTGAGAACTGAGAATGATACAAGGAGATTAAGTTCTTGTTCTATGCTGCTACTGTTGGAATTGGGTTTGACAACTTGAAAGTTTCTAAATAATACTTAAAAGAGTACTTTTTAAAACTTAAATTCTCATCTAAAAATTACTCTTTAACACGATTATTGTCTATTTTACCCTCACAATTGTGCTCCACATACTTTTGTTTCCATGAAAAATTTGTCCTGAATGTCAATTCATTTCCAAAGGTTCAATAGAAGCTTGAGCAAAGGGCTCGTTGAAGTACCGGTTACCATGTGATCTCTACATTTTTCTCATTCACGTAATATTAAGGGATGGAAGACCCGACAATATGGAGGCTGAAGTTGCATGTCCATTTTTCCGACCCTTTTTTTTATTATTTTGTTTGTTCACAACGCCACAAAATCATAAAATCCTCAAATAACTCAAAAAGAGAGAGTTGCTTAACCATTGAGTTTCACAACAATTATGGCGCGAGATGCTTATTATAGGATCATCTTCACACGTGTTATTTTGACCGTCAAACGAACAGCTTTAATCCCATCAGATTCTTTAATACCATCAGATTACTTGTGCAACGATAATGGAAGGTTGGGGACATTAACTAGTTTTAAAGATTGAGGCCTAACTATGCACATAAATTAGTTTTTCATCAGAACAAAAAAAAGAAATAAAGAATTAGAAATTTCACTCTGCTCTGATGTAATTCTGGTCATAGAATACAGAACACCAACACCTAAGCAAAGCAACCCTTCATGGTCATTTCTTGAACAAGCTCATTAACGATTGTGCTATATAAGAATGATTTCCTAAGCACCGGTGCTTAACATAAGCTATATATATGAAAATGTTTTCCTAAACACCGTTGACATAATACATCATTTAATTGGTGAATAAGTTAATGGCAGATCCCATGTATTTTAATGATTCACCAATTAAATGGCGTGCCATGTCACCAGTACTTAACATAAGCTAAATACCGATACTTAGGAGATCATTCCTATATGAAATTCCATTATGTACAAGTAGCATTATTCATTAAATTCGAAAATAAACCTCTATCACTAATGACACAACAATAACAGTAATCAGTAATCTGTATATTACCAAATTCAATACTAGATCTTCATTAAATAATGACCTAGACTTCATTGCCGATGAGGTATTCTAGTAAATGTACCAGACATCAGTCTCCCATTGTCATTTTAAGCGTAAAACTATGTAGATACATAATATACACTCAGTCGCGTTCTCTTATACAGTTCCCAGGCAAAAGGTACTTGTATTTGTCTGCATTGTTCAACAAATATGCAGGAAGACGAACAGCTGAATATGAATGGGGGATATGTCCCATTTTCCCGATTATCTCCTTGAAGGTGTACTCCTCGGGTAACATATCAAATAAATTTGCCCCTTTGCATATGAGATCCTGAATCCTTTTCGGGCTCAGATAGTGAGAGAACCTCACACGATCGGTGTGACTGTATGCTTTCATTTTGAATATGAAGTCACTGATACGCCGGAAACAAAAGCTACAATGCCACCCCGCATCTGACAAGAGGTAGTCCGACTGACGGTAATGTGCATACCTAGTCTTCACTCTTTGATACCTGTCAGAAATATGGTTTAAATAAAATATGAAAATTGTGCTTTTGACTAGAAATGAACACATCGAGTATGTTGAATATAAATAAATGTCTCCATCTCTAACTGTTTAAACTTTTAGATAAGATTGTTTAACAGCACCTGTGTACTGAAGCTCTCCAGCTGCCATCATCGTACTTAAACTCAAATGAGTACAAGTAGTTCTTGAGCTGAAGGTGAAGAATGGGAGGGATATCGTCACACCATCGTAACAAATTTATCGTATGACTGCTTGGAATCTCGTCAACATCTGACATTATCAGCAAATCATCATCCTCTATACCAGCTATTCTCATAAGCTTGTCAAGTCCCACCCTCTGATACGCTTAAAATTTTGTATTATCTGCTTCTAATTTTTTTTTTTCTTTTTCTGAAAATTGGAATTCCCTAATTATAGCCGTTAGATGGTTAATCGCTGCGAGGATATGAAAGGACTGCTAGTGTTTTATGCGGCGGATGAGAACCTCTCAAATTCCCTATTTAAAACAAAAATAAGAAATTAATTTCCCGGAAGGAATTAGAAAACATTAACAAAGTAAAATAAAAAAAATAAAAAATTATGGTTGCCTTGACCATTATAGAAGAACGTGACTTTCTTTTTTAGTCTAATAGACTTACAATTCCTTCAAAAATCCTATCAATTCAATAGAAAACTCTCTTGTTTCAAAATAGAAATGTTCTAAACGTTGATGTGCATACATATATTCGCCCGACACATATATTTCTTTAGATTTAAGAGTGAAGTGGGGATTAGAACGAGTCATTAGTCAGGTCGTTATAATGTCCTTGTTTGAGCCTCATTCTTCCAAAAATTCATTTTCAACCACACATTTTTCAATAAAATTATATTACACACAAACCCAAAACTTTTCCTTAATTTCAATCACACATTCTCCATCATTCACTATTTAAAAATGTATTTTTTCACTTAAAATGGGGTTCAAACAAGGGCAATGAGTGAAAGATATAATTATAATAAAAAAGTTGATGAATCACGAAGCCTCATATGGTGGGTCGAGCGGACTGGGTTGGCTAGACACGACTTGGCACATTTAACGCTTCCAAAGTAGAGCTCATCAAGTATGTATAATCCAATATTATAATGTGTTTGAAAATAATGGACGAAAAGAATTGTTGATTATTTGCATTCTCTTGCCACTTCAAATTTGAAGAGAATAAAGTTCTTGCTATTTATTTGTCTATAATGTTTCGCTCTGCTATGGCAAAAACTAAATATTTTAATTTTTAAATAAACTTAATCTACATTGAAATCCCTTAGTTTTTCTGGACTAATTGTGTAAATGGTGGCGAAATAACAATACACTCCTCAATAAACACTTGACGGTAGAGTAGGCATGGCTAGATGCCATACTAAATCAATTACAAACAAGTTTTGGTCAATTCTTTCTATAATTGAGTAAAGTTTTCACGGATTCTTTAATCGAAGTAATTGAATTTTAATTTTAATATTACATCTATTGACATACTTCAAAACTTGGTTCATTTTGGGGTTCTCGTGAAAATTGTTAGGTTTTGAGATTTCTCTTCTTTTCCCTAATGAATAAAAAAAAATTGTACAAATCTTTATAGGAGTATCTTCAATTGAGATTGTGGTGGCTTTTAAGATCTTTCTAAATTTAGTATCCTCAATTAAGATTTCAATGGATTTTAATAAAATCCATTAAAATTTAAGTGTCTCCAACTAAGATTTTAATGAAATTCAATGCAATACTTTAAAATTCATGAATGACCAGTGGATTTATAAATATTTCATTAATAGAGAGATTTTAATTGATTTGAATGGATTTCAAGTTTAAAAATACATATAACCAAATTTTTTGAAATTTCACTATATTTTATTTGATTATTATGGAATTTGTGGAGATTTAAGATTTATAATATTCTAAAATCCATCAAAATCTTAGTTGAGGACATCCACTCCCATAGAAAAATTTAACTTCTAGACCAGTCCGAAATAACAATTCTAGAAACACTACATCCATTTTTATTTTTTTCAAATATAAAAACTACTATATATTATAATATAGATTAACAAACCCACTTTCACACTAAGAGGGCGACATTTTGGGTAACTGGTCATAATAAACGATAAATTGTAAAAGATTTTAATTAATATATAAATTCCTAAAATTACGCTGTTGTCGACTGCAGTTTAGGATAGATATAACTGGTTCTTTTCTATGGATAAAAATTCCTAAAATTACGCTGTTGTCGACTGCAGTTTAGGATAGATATAACTGGTTCTTTTCTATGGATAACATTAATGTCATATGTACCAAATTAGAGTATGAAATGTATGATGCAATGTGATGAATGTTTTTATGTTTCAAGTAACATTAGTGTCTTCGTGGTTATGTTGATATGTATGCTATCTACAATAGAATTGTTATTTATTATTTCGTTGATATCATGCAATCTATATCAGTATCTCAATGAACGACACTATATTCAGTTTTATAATTGTTGTAGATATAGGTGATATTAACATTTCATCACATGCAATGGCGAAACTATGGGCCTCTATGCTCGTACATAAAATACATACCGAGTTAAGGATTGAACGAGTGAAGAAATCTGCATCTATACACTATGAGGTTGATAAACAAACGGCACTAGATAAGATTACAAACGTATTTCTATGATGTGCTATATAGCACTCAGAAAAAAAAAAAATGATTACGAACTTGCAGTGTATCCTCTTCATGTTGATGTTACTTCGCTATCAACGGAATATGAATGGATTGATGCAGATGTGATGAGACTGTGAAAGTATATAGAGCAAATGGAAATTTGTAAAGTCTGTACACTAAAATGAATTTGTACTTACTTTGGAGGCAAGGATTCTTCGTAGAGCAAACTTCAAAACGATGAATGTTTCCTCAAATAGACTCTTACCTATGGAAAATGTCTTGCTGAGCAGAAGCGCAAACGAGTTTCAAAGGTTGGGAACCTTTGATGCTATTACCCATTTTTTATGATTTTTTTTTTTTGGTAAATTAAATTTTTAAAAATATTTATAGTTTTAATATTACTGCTATACATATAAATCATGTCACATTGGGCCTTTCTTTTGGACTTGACTGGACTCGGCCCATGACCCGCTTGGTCTATTTCATTTCGTTTCATTTCACTTCTCTATATATACGAGCTCATTCACACAAAATTTAAGGTATGTTTTCTAAACCTTAACCAAATTCCCGCTCCCGACTCTCACACTCTATATCTTCTTTTTGTCCGGCCGTTGATTTGATCGTCGGAGTGCAAACGATCGTCGGACCTTTTTCTCGGCCGATGGCTTTTGCCTTCTAACAGGGTGTTCCATGTGCAAGTTTGGAAGGGACGAGGTCGGGATCCGTTAGTAATATTTTTTTTTAGTCAATAGATTGGCGCCGTCTGTGTAAAATGGTACTAACCATGTTATACCACGTACAAAAAGGCCACCAAAAAATATGACTTTCCGGGCCAATTTTTTCTACTAAAAAAGAGCAAAGACATCAACCAAAAAATTTAAGAAAAAAGGGCTACTAGATTTGGAGTTCAAAACTAAGTAATTTTTGAGTACTTTGTTTGACATTAATACCAAAAATCAGCCATTGGAAGGATGAACAATAGAGTTATCAGCAAGCTAAACCTAGTAATTCTACCATCTTCTTCCAAAATGGCGGCCATCACCATCAAATTTGTAATATTCAGGTTGTGGGGAATGGTATATACTAGTGACCAAGAATAATCAAAAACCAAAAATGGAACTTAATTCTCAAATTCCCTTCACATATTCTGCTTTGGCCAGTTACGCAAAGAATGAAGTTCACTCACTTCAAACAGAAAGACCCGTTTGTGAAGCTTTCAACACATAACAATTTTACAACACTTTGGACAAGATGGAGCTTTTAGGTGTGGGTAATGGCATCTTCTACGTAGATAGATGAGGACTAAATCTTATGGGAATGTTATGTTGTAAAAGAGGAAGAGTTTAGGACGGGCGCAGAGACCTCTTGACCTCCACATCACCAACAACATACAACCCCTGCAAGTATCCAGCTAGTCTCGTTGGGCTGTCGAGCAGTTGTTGCACCACCTTAACCTCCGGTACTCGTCATTTAGGCAGCCATTTTCATTCTCCAGCCTCGAGCAACACCAATCGGCATTCACCATCTGCGGCAAAGACCTCTAAAACAGTCGCAGGCATTGGCAAAAAGCAGCACCCTCAACACCACAATAACCATCGGTTTATTGTCTAGCTTCGGTCCTTTTATCGGCATTAAATTTTGACGGAGATAGGACTGTGTTGTTAGCAATTAAACCCTAATGCCAAGATCTTAGAATTTCATGATTTTCACATATGAGAAATTTGATCAAGTAACATACCTTGATCCATGAAGATAATTGAAATGCTTTAAATCTGCAAAAGAGAAACTAGTGAGATTAAAGAAATCGTTCTCTCTCTCTCTTTTCCTTACTATTATTGAATTGAATTAATTGATGGCTTTTCATTCACGTTAAAAGGCAGAGAGATGCAGTTTCTTTGAGCCAAAAACGACCCACTTTCCATCAAAGTGGACAGTTATAAAGCTACCACTTCTCAAATGGGCCAATCAGATATTAGCATATAGACCAAATTAATTAATTCATTAATAATATTACGTAGGGCCACATTAATTGGTCTAACATTCTCCCACTTGGCCAGAGTAATATTACATCATTATGTGGTCTATAACATAACACGCATATGATAAACTAAAATCTTTCGTACATTGGTCACTTAATATATCATCGTTAAGTAATGACGAATAAGAGTCATGGCGATTTTACACCATCATTCGGCATAATTCCTTCCATGCACTACAATATTAGTCATCACTTAACATGATACGTAATGAGAAGTTTCCAATAATATCTTTAAAGGGCTATTCCTGTCAGCATTCACACAATTCATTCATGTACATGTACCAACGATTATGACAGGAACAATATTTGTCAAAAAAATACATAATTGAGCTCAAAGTGTCAATACATAAGCATCATAAATTATATAATAATGTCGACGATAATTTTCAATAATGCCCATTTTTTCGACATGTTCATTAAATGTCTTTGGTGGCAACCCTTTCGTTAATAGATCTGCAATCATAAGATTGGTGCTAATATGCTCGATTGTAGGGCTGCAAGCAAAAATCGCAAAACCAAAAAATCGAACCGAAACTGCATTTTAGAAATTGTCGATTTGGTGCCACGTGGACTCGGTCAACGAAATGGTTTTGACCCAAACCAAACCGGTCAAAATAGTTTGATTTATGTTTGAGAATTTTAATTGTGGTTTAATACCAAACCGGACCAGCGAAAATATATAAAAATAAAAAGATGAAAAAATGAAATTTTTTGAAAATTCATCCAAATAAGTAAAATTCAATAGTTTTGTCATTTGTGGGTATTTTTGTCAATTCATAATTTTCTAATACAGATATATTATTATTATCATCATCATCATCATCATCATCCAATAATCCTAATATATATTTAATAATTTCAAGACTAACATAATCTATGAAAAGTCTTTTTCCTCTTCAAAATTTAGATGAACTCCAGTCGACATCCAACACAATTTTGAGCCACCGGCACCACACACTTCTTTTTCAAATTTTTCATGCCTCTTCAAAGTTGAATTGAAGTCCATTATACCAAATCGGAGATAAAGAGATCCTAGACTTTCGGTGATAATATTTGCCACAAATAAAGTTTCAGATCAATAATTTTTTGGAGCAAACTAAGGTAAGAATCTGAAATTAAACGTGTTTCGTAACATTATACAAACGTAAACTTGTGTAATTGTTATGTTTACATATTATAAACAATTGCTTTAATATTGTGGTTGGTTATTCTCTTTGTTTAATCAGTATCCTTTTTTTCAAATATAATGATCATGAGGTCTTGTTGGACATTATTATATTTTTTGGACATTATATCTAGTTTAGTAGAATTGTTATTATATTGTCATTAGCCTAAAAAAGGTGAACAAAAATGAAACAAAAAACACTATGTTTTAATTTATTGTGATTTCACTTTGATTTAGTTGATATTTAAATTTATAATAGATATATTTAGCCCTGTTTAAGCCATATTTTCCATATCATCATAATGAAAAAATTGACTATTGAAGAGGAGGTTGGGTCCTACATATGAAATAGCAGGTCAACGAAGATGGCTGGACTTGTGGAATAACGGTCCAAATTTTCATTTTTTTGTCCCAAAAATTTGGTTCAAACAGGGGTTTACTTTGTTTTAGATTTATTACTAGTGAGATATAAATATATATTAAATCCAATGAATTAATGACATAAAAATAGACGAGCAAAAAAATATATGGCGAAACCAGAAGTTTAAAACCGGACCAAACCGTTAGGTTTAGGTTTGAGTTTTTTTCAAACCGTTCAAAATAGTTTAGTTTAGTTTTGGGTTTTTCTCAAGCCGTTTTAAATGGTTTGGTTTGAAAATCTGTCAAAAATCGGTAAAATCAGACCGCTTACACCCCTACTCGATTGACACATCTTGTTTTTGAACTTTTTCTTTAAAGGCAAAGTACTTCAATTCCATGTGTTTAGCACCTTTAGAGTACTTATCGTTCTTTGAAAAAGAAGACTGCTGCAGAATTATTAAAGTTTCAGCGACTTGCTATATTGTCGACGATTCCAAGTCCTGAAATAATGTTTCGCAGCCAATTTCCTTGAATTGTGGCCTCAAAGCATGCCACAAACTCGGCTTCCATAGTGGATGCAGCAATGATTGACTACTTCACACTTTTCTATGATATAGCCCCTCCAGTCAAGAGGAACAAATAGCTAAATGTGGACTTTCTAGTATCCACACATCCAGCAAAGTCTGAATCTGAATACCCAATAACCTCCAAGTTATCAGATCTCCTATAAGTGAGCATGTGGTCTTTCGTTCCTTGCAAGTATCTCAATACTTTTTTTACAGCTTTCCAATGATCAAGTCCCGGGTTACTTTGATACCTGCCCAGCGTTCCGACAACAAAACTAATGTCTAGTTTGTTGCAAGTCTGAGCATACATTAAGTTCCCAACAAGAGATGCATAAGGAATAACTGTCATTTGTTTGCGTTCCAATTCATTTTTAGGACATTGCATGAGACTAAACTTGTCTCCTTTTGGAATTGGAAGGACACTCGCTGAACAATTCTCCATCTTAAATCTCTAAAACTTTATTGATGTATGCTTTCTGAGACAACCCTAACAATCCTTGTGACCTATCACGGAATATTTCAAGTCCAATCACATAGGATGCCTTTCCCATCTCTTTCATTTCAAAATTTTTAGAGAGAAATTTCTTAGTCTCATGTAATAGACCAAGATCATTAGTAGGTAGTAAGATATCATCAACATATAGAATAAAAAATATAAACTTGCTCCCACTGACCATTAGATAAATACATCGATCAACAACGTTTTCCTTAAATCCAAAAGAAGTAATGACATCATTGAACTTAAGATACCATTGACAGGAAGCCTGTTTAAGTCCGTATATTGATTTCTTTAACTTACATACCATGCGTCCTTTTCCTTTAGCTAAAAAACCTTCAAGCTGCTCCATATAAACTTCTTCATCTAAATTTCCATTTAGAAAGATGGTTTTCACATCCATTTGATATAGCTTTAAGTCATATTGAGCTACAAAAGCCATTATAATTCTGAGTGAGTCTTTCTTAGAGACTGGTGAAAATGTCTACGTATAATCAATGCCATTTTTCTAAGTAAAATCTTTGGCAATAAGTCTAACTTTATATCGTTCAATATTACGATTAGAGTTGCGCTTGGTTTTAAAAACCCATTTACACCCAACTCTTTTACATGATTCTGGTAATTCGACGATATCCCAGACTTCATTATGATCCATAGATTTCAACTCATCTTTCATAGCATCTAACCACTTATCAGAATTAGCGCTCTCAAAGG